AATCCACCATGCAGCTTAATGTGCCACTTGCAGAGGCCTCATTCCCGCCATACTGCAGATCGAGCTTGCATGCTAGGAACCCGCCAGTAGCTCAAACTGGCAGGCTGCCGCTCATTTGAGAGAGACAATTAGGAAGCTGTTTTTAGTTCCGTTTTAGAATCTTTTCTCAGGTTTTAGGTGGAAACTCGTGCCCTCTCGTTGGGCGCCAAGATTTCACCTCAGTAATGCTGGTCTCTTCTTAATCACCACTAATTTCTTAGCTCCAACTAACCAGCATAGATTGTCCCAGTAGCATAAGGGTTTCACTTCAGTAGTTATGGTATCTTGTTAATCACAGCTGATTATTTAGCCCCAGCTAATCAGAACCACAGAATTTTAAATCCAAATAACAAACAGCCCTGATAGTCTGTTATCTTCCCTTTGAAATTTCACAAGCCAGGCCTCCATCTTCTGCACTGCTCTCAACATCCTTATCTTCCAAGCTCCCACAGAACATCCTACTGAGGTCTTAACATTCAATGGCTCTTCTACCCAAAGTTCCAAAGTTCTTCCACACACAGTCCTCCCAAAAACATGGTCAGGTCTGTCACAGAAATATTCCACTATGCTGGTACCAATTTGTCTTAGTTAGAATTTCTGTTGCTGTGACAAAAAAAAACCATGACCAAAAAGCAAGTTGGGAAGGAAAGGGTTTATTTGGTTTACACTTCCAGATCATAGTCCATCATTGGAGGAAGTCAGGACAGGAACTCAAACAGGGCAGGAACCTGGAGGCAGGAGCTGATTGATGCAGAGGCCATGGACAGATACTGTTTACTGGTTTGCTTCCTATGACTTGCTCAGCCTGCTTTCCTATAGAACCCAGGACCACCAGCCCAGGGAATGATAGCACCACCCACAATGGACTGTACCCTCGCCCATTGATCACAAATTGAAAAAATGCCTTACAGCTGTATCTCATGGAGGCATTTCTTCAACTGAGTCTCTTTTTCTCTCTGATGATTCTAGCTTGTATCAAATTGACACATAAAACCAGCCAATACATAGGGATACATAGACCTGTCTCAGAAACAACTGGATCCTTGCAAACAAAAGAGGAAATGGCAAAAAGTAAGAGTATTTCAGGGAGCTAAGGCTTGGGCTATATTTGAGCCTAGAAAATAGGTAAAAGAGACAACATTCTGTTTTTATGACACAAGACCCTAAGACCACATCTCACTGGGTATTTCTCTGGAAGGGCTCCCAAATCTAGCATGCAAGTGTGGGAACCTAAGGTAGAGATGGGAGAAATACCTGCCCCCCATGAAGGACACAACACTTCCCACAATGACCATGTCTGTCCAAGGGTACACATAGTTAGAGACTGGGAACCCCATGATTCTATTGAAAGCTGGTCATGTTGGCATCTTCTGCCAGACATTTGTACCAAAATTCACCTGACCCCTGGCAGAAAAGTGGGCATTTGTCATAGTCTGCATCGCTTGCACTTGTATTATAGGCACAAGGGCTACCCCATGAAGAAGGAGAGGTAATAGCAGTGAAACATGCTTGTACCAGCCAAGGTACAAGGTACCCTATCAAGCTAGCAGCCTGTTACTTCTCTTTGACATGGTTCATTGTGTTTAGTGGTTTTCAGATCCCTGGCAACTTTAAGAGTCCTAGTTTCCACAACCACAGCCCCCACTGCCAAATTACTGGAGACCAGGTTGAGATTAGCCCCTGCTGTGTGTGTGTAGGGGGGATGATTAGAAGATGTGGGATTAGAAATGAGAACTCATTAAGCCAGTTGGAGCATGATGATTTGGGTGAATCAAAGACTAATGAAAGTGCTTTGCCCGAAAACCAGCAGATTTAAAAGTGTATCACAGGACTTTTAAGGCTTACAGAAGAGATGTTGATATCCTGTTTCTTTCCCTAGGTGGCATTGGGGAAGCTGTCTGTGCTGCAGTCTCCATGGAGCCTAACATCATAGTTCATCAGCTGGCAGTGACAGGGGTGCCTCAGAATGGGAAATCCAGTGAAGCACTAGATTTTTCTGGAATCAGTGCCAGACATATCAACGTAGCTGTGAAATGCATCTTAATGAATTAAATTAGCTGTTGGTTTTTGTCTTAGAAGATTAGCCTCTTTTCTGTGTATTTATGGTTGTACCAAAACCATCACTTAGATAGAAATGATTGTGCTTTGTTCTCCTTAAAGGCAAAACCAGCTAACACCTTTATTCCTCATTCAGTAATTCTAATTTCCCTTTCATATGTGACTACATATATGAATATTCGTTGTTTTTACCATCAAAATGGGTTATATTTAAAATGGCAGAATAGCTAACAAGACAACCACCTGATACTGAACTTTCACATAAGACTGCATGTAAGTGAATTAAGGATGAATGTAGAAGTGACAGTTTAAAAAGTATTTCCCTCATAAGTAAAGCAAATATGTGTTGAATTAGAGTCCTCAGCCCAGCTTTCACAACACTAGACCCCTGAAATCCATAGTGCAGTTCGACTTGAGTTACCATGTATGCTGCCTTCCTACCTGCAGCTTCCTGAGTAATGTGTAACTTCAGGTGCTCTTGAATTTTCTCTGCTGTTTCCCTTCATATCTCCTCCACAGTTCACAGGCTGGTGAACAGAACGAAAGCAGTTAGGATGTCTTGTGCTGTTTGTGATGACTGTTCTGTGAAGACACAAGGACACTAGTCTTGATCTCCATACTATGCTGTTTGATATTAAAGCATTTCAAAATCAGCTACTTTATTCATTTTGTGCCTTCTATTCAATTTGGTTTCCCCTTGCAATAATCCTAAGGGAGAGCCTTCTATCTCAACCAGACTAGGTGTAATGGGTGGCAAACAAGTCACTCATTGTAAAATAGTATAGCCTTGGAAACTTACCCTAGTCAAATCTTCCATCAGCTGGAATGTAAGAAAGGTGTCGACCAAATAAAAATGGGACTGAGTTTCAAAAGCATGTGTCAAATATGTCACATTTCTTATTACTTTTATTAAGTGGACATTGGGAATTTGGGGAGACATGACCACATTGCTTCTGGAGTTATGCAACAATGTGTGGTAGATTTAACCTGGACTTGGTGCCATTAGAGCCTGCTCATTCTACTCCCACCCCTAGTCTACTGATTGGGTTTCCTGGCCTGTAAAAGGAAAGTCTTCATAAAGACTGCAAAATTGGGCTGCAGATATGGCTCAGTTGTCAAGAGTACTTGCTTCCAGGTTTGGTTCCTAGCACCCACATCAGGTGGTTCACAACTGACTATAACCCAAGGTCCAGGGAATGTGACCCCTTTTTGCCTCTGGGCACTCACACACATGTGGCATACATTCACAGACATACCATACATAGACATTTTTTTAAAATAAAATCTTTTTTTTTTTTTTTTTTTTTGGTTTTTCGAGACAGAGTTTCTCTGTGTAGCTTTGCACCCTGGGATTAAAGGCGTGCGCCACCACCGCCCGGCTAAAATAAAATCTTTAAATGACTGGGTATGGTGACACATGCCTTTAAGCCCAGCACTTAGGAGGCAAAGGCAGGAAGTGTTTGAGTTTGAGGCCAGCCTGGTTTACATAGGCAACAGGCCAACCAAGGCTAAATACTAAGATTCTGTCTTTTAAAAAAATTCAATTATTTTGGGATCATCACAGTAGTTTTAGAAAACAATTTATCCTGGGTATGGTGACATGTATAATCCTAGCACCTAGAAAGAGGGGGCAAGAGGATTAGAAGTTCAAGGTCATCCTCCTCGGCAATGTAAGCAAGTTGGAGGCCAGCCTATACTATGCAACACCTGTCTCCCGAAACATTTTTAACTTATTTCTCTGTTCAGGGTAATCACTTTCTCATTATACAATTTTCTCCCTTAAATTATACAGTTCAGAGGGTTTTTTAATGTATTCAGAGTTAATTTTACAACATTGATATCCCCCAAATTCTATACTCCGTTTCTCCTCCCAGCTCTTAGTAATCACTGATTTGCTTTTGTCTGGATTATACTTTTAGGTGATATTTTGTGAAAATAGAATTGGAATATATGAACTTTTTGTGTCTGGCTTTCAAAAAGCATAATGTTCTTTGTATCTATGTACATGCACATGGAGGCCAGAGGACAACCTTTGGTGGTGATCCTCTGGTGCCTGCCATGTACCTTTCTGGCCTGGAACTCACCAATTAAGCTAGCTTGGCTAACCAGGGAGCCTCTGGGATCCACCTGTCTCTGCCTTCCCAGTGATGGGATTATCAAGGTGAATCACCTTGTCTGGCTTGTTTTACATGAGTTCTGGTGAATCACACTCAAGTCCTTGACCTACTGAACTATCTCCCCAGTCTTGAGTGTAATGCTTTTGAGGTTCATCTATGTAGACTATGTTCATATCATTCCTTTTTTGAGGGAAAGGAATCATCTCTTGTAAGCAAGGCTGGCCTTGAACTTGCTCTGTAACAGGGTGACCTTGAACACTTGATCTTCCTGTCTCTCCCAAGTGGTCACTACTTTTTTATGGTCACACAATATTCTTGTTTACATAGACCCTATTTTATTTAATCTTTGAGTGAACACTTGGTTTGTTTACATTTTAGTTACATTTTTTGCTATTGTGAATAGTGACATTCTGAGTCATATATACAGATTTGTGTGTAGGTAACTATTTTTACTTTGTGTGTATGACTGCCTGGAATTGCTGGGTTCTATGGTAATACTGTTTGCTTCTTTGTGTGTAGTATGAGTGTGCTTAAACACAGTTTATGAAAGAGTAAATAAAATAGGAAGACAATCAGCAATCTGTAAAGCAAATATAGAAGCCATTAATACAGGAAAGCCACAGTATAAGTGTCTATGCATTCATCTGGAAGTTCTAGATTCAGTATGCCTGAAACTCATAGTGCACATTTACACTGGCAGTATAAATGAGTCAACAAATGTACTCAATAGAAGTATAATTCCAAGAAGCAAAATAAAAGCCCCAAAGGCTCAATTCTGGCTTCTAGATTATGCTGGGCAGAAAAGGACAGATAAAAGCCAGAAGTGGTCGCTCACTCCTTTAATGCCAATACTTTGAAATCAGAGGCAAACAAGCCTGGTCTACACAGTGAATTTCAGGCCAGATAGGGCAACAATAAGTGAGACCCTGTCTCAAAATTAAAAAACAAAAAAAGAAAGGGACAGATATGGTAATAAGGACTCGAAAGCCATGATCATAAAGAAGAAAATGAGTTCCATTGCCAGGGATTGTTGTTGCCACTGGGTAGCCAAGGTATATAATATCCAAGTGATGGGGGCTGGTGCACAAAGCGTTTGAGGATGAAAATTCCTTAATTCACCAGTCTGGCAGTTTGTAGGCTCATGAACACCCTCTGAAAGATGTCATTGATCTTTGCACTTGGAACCAGTCCCTGAATCTTCTAATTCCCTACCATGAAGAAGTACCCGCCGGAGTTTGGAGCCAGCTATCTGGTTTTAAATCTAGACCTGTTAGTGGGAGGTGATTCCCTAGGTAACCTTTATGTCTCGATTTTTTCATCTCTAAAGGGGATAATAGAACTGCCAATAGAATATGTTTTAGGGCTGTGGCCAAAATTTTACAAAACTAAAACATGTCTATTTAGGCCCTCCATGTCCATCTAACTGGTGGGTTCCTACTTCCCCTCAGATCCAGCCATATCCCACTTGTCCCACCTCCTCAGCTGATCCTCACACTTGCCACCCTCCCGAAATTGACTGTATTGGGGTAGCGGCGATTCTTTTTTGCTTTTCCTCTCCTTTGCTAGCCCCCCTCCTCTGCAGCCCTGTCTGTTCACCTGCCCCTTCTTTCTCCAGTTCCTTGCTGGGACGCCCTCTACCCACCATTTGACTCTGCCTGGCGTTGGTATGTTGGGCCTGCCCGCGCCTGCCCGCAGTACCCTCCTATCCACAGGCGGGCTAGCGTTTCGTCATTGGGTTTTGTACCGTCACTCACTTGGACACAGCCAATCATCCCACAAGAGCCTGAAGACGCGCTGGGCTAACAGCGAGGGTTAGCAACATGACCTCACAGTTATGTGCTCCCAGCCGCACTGGCACCGCTAACTGAGCAGCCACGAACAGGGGAGGGAGGACCAACATAGGGACACAGGAGCCGGGTGCGGACAGCTAAACAGTGCAGCTGGGTTTGACAGTAGAGTGATTGAGATGGTAGGTAAGCATGTGCTTACCACAGAGTGCAGGGAGTTCCTTTCAACAGTCAGACGTTCAAAGCCATTAGGGTCTTGGGACAGAACCCTCCCTACACAGCACATGCGCCACAGAAAAAGATACTAGGGGTGGCCTGTCTTACAACGGGAAACCATGGGACTTTCGTTCTACTGGTACTACTGTAGCCATCTTTTCTGCCAGTGAGATAACTTGTGGCTTTAGGATTCAGGAAGCCAGAAATGATAACAATTGTGATTCCCAAACTAGTTGAGGAAGACAAGCAACTAGCCAAAGAAATATTCAAAGCCAGAACCCAGGTACAGAATTGGGGTGGTAGTAATTTCAGCAATCTGAAGGCTGAGACCAGACAGTTATGAGTTTAAGGCGAGCTTGGGCTGCATTAAAAAAATTGTTTGAGACCAGGTCTTGCTATATAGCTTTGACTGACCTGGAACTCACTATGTAGATAAGGATGGCCTACAATTTTCAACAATCTCCCTGCCTCTGCCTGCCAAATGCTGGGATAACAGACATGTATAACCAGGCCTGGAATTTTTTTAAGTGCTAGGATGGAACCCAGGGCCTTGCATGTGCTAGGCAAGCAGTCTAACACTGAGTTAGATGCTCAGCCCATAAATCTTTGTTTTTGCTGCACCTCAGAAACCATTGAAGATTTTGGGGGAGTTGTGGTGGCTTTTACATCAGAATTTGTAAACACCAGTGAGAACTGCTCTCTGGGCTCATGGAACTCAAAAGAAATGTCAATTTTGATTTGCAAAATTCATCCTGATGAAACAAGAAGAGAAGGGTGCTTCTCTTTTTACTCTCCTCCATTTCTCATCTGATGGCCAGCTCCTCAGTGACTCCTTCCCAAAAGAAGTTCCTGCTCATGTAGGAACCTCAGAGAGAGAGAAAGGGAGGGAGGGAAGGTGGGAAAAGTCACTGACAGGAGAGCACAGGATCCAGCCCTAGAGGCCAGATACTTTGAGTCACACTCTGCCTCTACCATGTGCCAACTCACAATTCAGAACAAGCTATTTAACCCTCCTCCATACTGTTTCCCTCATGTCTTGCCCTGGAAAATAGGGATAGCATTAGCATTAGCATCAACATCTTGGGGAGCTGCTGAGGATAAAACAGATTGGGTCCTTGGGAAGTACTTGAAACAGCCCAGCATATATAAAATATTCAGTCATTACTGCTGATCATATTACTGAGTCTCTGAGAATTATGCTCTCAGAAATATGACAGCCCTGGTCTTGCTCTTTGATGTACCTTCTAATTCTCAGGGATAGTGACAATCTCTATTGCTGTCAGTATGTGACTGTTGACCTACCTTCAGTTTCACCCCTGGGAGTCCTGTGTGTGACTCTGCTCTGCCAGGATTCCAGCAGTAAATGACTTTACCTGTAGCATAACTTCCTGTCTTTTCAGCACTTCCCAGCCTTCTCCCTAAGCTGTGGGAAGGTAGGCTTAGCTCCTGGGGGCTCAGAGGAGCTTCTTCACCTACTGTTATACATCAAAGCTGAAATGGACCCACTTCCTCCTAGATCCCTGTGCTGAGGCCAAGTTCATGCCCATCTTGCATTTTCATCCTGCAGGTAAACCATCAACATCACCAGGTGTAGGTGAGGATGTTGGTCCTACTAAGTAATATGCTATAAGTTCAAAAGCTTCTACTCCAAAGACCATCAAGGCCCAAATACTAACTGGGCATGGTAGTGTATACTTCTAATTCCAACACTTGAGAAGCTGAATTAGGAGTATTGGTATGAGTTTGAGGCCAGTCTGGGCTACATAGAAAGTGCCAAGCCAGCTAGAGCTACATAGCAAGACCTTGTTATAAAAACAAAATGGGGGAGGGATGTCATTTTGAAGAGTTGCTCAAGGTAGGCTGCCCTCAGTCAGACCTTCTCTACTCTCTCTTGCTTTGGAACAATCTCTATACACTGTAAATATGTATTACTCTCATTGGTTAATAAAGAGATGACTGGCCTATAGCTGGGCAGGAAGAAATTGGACAGGAGATCCAGACTAGGAGGATGCTAGGAAGAAGAAGGGCAGAGTCTGAAGAGTCGCCAGGAGATATAAAAGAAGCAGGACATGAACATGCCATACTGAGATAAGGTACCAAGCCACATGGTAGAACATAGATAAAATATGGGTGGAGCCAGAAGTTTTCCTGTGTCCCGCCTGGTCCTGCAGCTGCTTGGTCTCAAGTAAACCCACAGAGGCTTATATTAATTATAAACTGTATGGCCTATGGCTCAGGCTTCTTGCTAGCTAGCTCTTACAATTTAACTCAGTCCATTCGTATTAATCTATGTTTTGCCATGTGGCTTTGTAGTATTACCTGTTCTCTCACAACTTGCTTCTCCTGGCTGCTTGCAGATCTCTCCCAACCCTGCCTTTCTTCCCCCTCTATGTGTCTTGGATTTCCTGCCTAGCTCCATCCTGCCCTGCCATAGGCCAATGCAGCTTTATTTATTAACCAATGGGAGAAACACATATTCACAGCTTACAGAAAGACATCCCACAGCACTTCCCCTTTTCTGTCTAATCAAAAAGGAATATTTTCATTTTTTTAAAGATTTTTATTATGTATACAGAAGAGGGTGCCAGATCTCATTACAGATGGTTGTAAGCCTGTAGATGTAACCAACCGTCTTATTAAATAAGAAACACAGAACCAATGTAAAAGAGAAAGCCAAGAGGTCAGAGCTCAGAGCTAAAATCTTACCCTTCCTCCTGTGAGCTCCTAGCTTCCTGAAAGAGAGCTATATCCTGTCTGTCCGTCTTTTTATAGTATTTTGTTCTGCCTTCTCATTGGTTGTAAACCCAAACATGTGACTGCCTTGTCACTGTATGTCTCCAATGCTGGCTGTATCCCTGAACACACAGAGATCTATGGGATTAAAGGCGTGCGCCACCACCGCCACACTCTGTCTATGGCTCTAATAGCTCTGACCCCTGGGCAACTTTATTTATTAACATACAATCAAAATCACATTTCAGTACAATTAGAATACCACCACATAAGCCACCATGTGGGTGCTGGGAATTGAACTCAGGACCTCTGAAAGAATAGTCGGTGCTCTTAACCTCTGAGCCATCTCTCCAGCCCCAAAAATTCTTTTTTTTTTTTTTTTTTTTGGTTTTTCAAGACAGGCTTTCTCTGTGTAGCTTTGTGCCTTTCCTAGATCTTGCTCTGTAGACCAGGCTAGCCTTGAACTCACAAAGATCCACCTGGCTCTGCTCCCGAGTGCTGGGATTAAAGGCGTGCACCACCACCGCCCAGGCTTCATTTTAATATAGTAAAATTACATGTAACAAAACAGTTATCGGTCTGGAGAGATGGCTCAGAGGTTAAAAGCACTGACTGCTCTTCCAGAGGTCCTGAGTTCAATTCCCAGCAACCACATGGTGGCTTATAACCATCTGTAATGAGATCTGGTGCCCTCTTCTGGCCTGCATGCATACATGCTGTTTACATAATAAATAAATCTTTAAAAAAAACAGTTATCAAGCAAGAATTATAGTTACAATATCTAGTCTATTTGTATTTAGCAAAATTAAAGAAAATACTCTATCATCCATTCTATTTTTGTGAGTCTAAAGTTTCATATCTAATTTAATCTTTATCATGATTAAGGAAAACCATAATTATAACTATCCAGTCTTCAACTCCATCAAAGACCCCAGAAGGATATAATATTACCTGAGTAAACAGGAAGTGCATTGTGAGCAACTTCCAAAACTCTAGAAATGACAAGAGACATATGACTGCCTGGACAGTCACTCAAAATTCTTCTGCAACATTGGGGCATCCATCTTCAGCCTACAGGCCTAGAGTCTCTGGCACACTTTTTAGTGAAGCAGGAAATTTGAAGCATTATCTTGCCTATTGGCAAATTTCATCAGTCACTTCTCCCTGTGTGTTGCAGAATGTCTGGCAGTCTTCTCTACAAAGCAGGAACCTGAAAATACCATCTCACCTTGTTTTGGCAAAGTTCAGTGGTCATCTTCCTATGGGTCCTGCATAGCCAGTTTATACAGCATCCTGTCAAGCAGTGGAGGCAAGAGCACTTTTTTGCCCAGGGACTAACTTTTGCCACAAAAAAAGCAAACTCCATAATGAGTTTCTTCAATGCCCATCATCTTCTCTGAAGTAGATTGGTGCTGTCAGGAGCAGACATGTCTCACTGTCCAGAAAAGTCTAAGTTCTTAAAACATTTTAAATGCCATATTCTGTAGGTCTTTGAAGTGTTTGAAGATTGTCTATCTAATTGAAATATATCTTTGTATGCCTAAAAACTTAACTAACATTACTATAACTTTGATTATTATAGATGACTATTAATCTGTATTTCTTAATGATACATTTAATTTTAAATGAGTTGCATAAATGTAATACCTTAAACAAGAGTAGAAATAGGCATACAGTATAACAAAATTGACCTTAAATTTGTAATAATAAACAAAAATCTATATTAATGTAAAATATATAAGATTAATAGTTGTTTTTTAGATTAAAGTAGATTTAATAATCTACCCCTTTTCCCATCATTTCTATATCATATCCCCCTTTCTTTTTTCAGAAAAAGATTGACTATGACCAATAACAATTTGTAACCAACCTCCTAAACAAAGATAAACAACCATAATCCATTTTTGGGGAATGTGGGTATAGTTTTCTAGGCTACTTCCTATTGATTGGGGGCACTGGTAGTCTCATGAGGACACAAAGAAAATTCAGGA